ACTTTGGACTTTGTCCGGGACATAACTTTAAAACTATATAAGAGTTATCAACATGAAACTTTGCAGATAGATAGATCTCATTGAGAAGGTTTGCAGTGCACAAGAACAGTAACTCTGTCTTGCCTAATTTAGGAGTTATTGCCCTTTGTTCATTTTGACACTTTGAACTTTGTCCGGGACATTACTCTAAAATTATAAGAGATATCAACATGAAACTTTGTAGTTTTAAAGTGCAGTGCTAAAGAATCATAACTCTGCCTTGCCTTATTTTGAAGTTATTGCCCTTTGTTTATTTTTATTTTTTTACTTTTGTCCTGGACATAACTAAAACTATTAGAGATATCAACATGAATCTTTGTAGGTAGATAGATATCATTGGATAGAACTGCAATGCTTAAAGAACTTAAACAAAGCCTTGTCTAATTTTGGAGCTATTGCCCTTTGTTCATTTTTACACTTTGAATTTTACCTGGGACATAACTTTAAAACTATAAGAGTTATCAACATGAAACTTTGCAGATAGATAGATCTTATTGATAAGGTTTGCAGTGCACAAGAACCGTTACTCTGTCTTGCCTAATTTTGGAGTTATTGCCCTTTGTTCATTTTGACACTTTGAACTTTGTCCGGGACATTACTCTAAAATTATAAGAGATATCAACATGAAACTGGTCTCATTGGGTAAAAGTGCAGTGTTAAAGAATCATAACTCTGCCTTGCCTTATTTTGAAGTTATTGCCCTTTGTTTATTTTTACTTTTTAGCTCACCTGAGTGAGCTTTTAGGATCGATGATTGTCCGTCGTCCGTTCACATTTAGTTGTTAACACTCTAGCGGTCACATTTTTGCCTCAATCATCATCAAACTTGGTCAGGATGCTTATCTAGTTGATAGCTCGGATGAGTTCAAACATGGGTCATCTCTGATGAAAAACTAGGTCACAAGAGCTAAAAATAGAAAAACCTTTTTAACACTCTAAAGGTCACATTTTTGCCTCAATCATCATCAAACTTGGTCAGGATGTTTGTCTAGGTGATAGCTCAAATGATAACACTCTAGCGGTCACATTTTTGACACAAGTGTCATCAAACTTGATCAGGATGCTTGTCTAGGTACTTGCTCGGATGAGTTCGAACATGGGTCATCTCGGATGAAAAACTAGGTCACCGGAGCTAAAAATAGAAAAACCTTGTTAACACTCTAGAGGTCACAATTTTGAATCAATTGTCATCAAACTTGGTCAGGAAACTTGTCTAGGTCATTGCTGGGATTAAATTGAACATGGGTCATCTCGGATGAAAAACTAGGTCACAGGAGCTAAAAATAGAAAAATCTTGTTAACACTCTAGTGGCTACTGTTGTGATCCAAATATCCTGTAAATTGATCTTAAAGTTTGATTTGATGATTTCTAAGTCAAGTTCGAACATGGGTCACACCGCCCAAATATGGAAAAACCTTTTTAACATTCTAGTGGTCACATTTTCGACTCAATTATCATCAAACTTGGTCAGGATGCTTGTCTAGGTAATTGCTAGGATGAGTTCAAAATCGCATGTGAAACTAGGTCACCGGAGGTAAAAATAGAAAAATCTTGTAAACTCTCTAGTTGCTACTGTTTTGATCCAAGAATCCTGTTTTGATGATTTCTAGGTCAAGTTTGAATATGGGTCACCTGGGTAAAAAACTAGGTCACACTGCTCAAATATGGATAATCCTTGTTAATACTGTAGTGGTCACATTTTTGACTCACCTGTCATGAGACTTGGTCAGAATGCTTGTCTAGGTAATTGTTTGGATGAGTTTGATGGGTCAGGTGAGTGATCTAGGGCCATCATGGCCCTCTTGTTTACTTTTGTCCTGGACATAACTCTAAAACTTTTAGAGATATCAACATGAAACTTTGTAGGTAGATAGATATCATTGGATAGAACTGCAATGCTTAAAGAACCTAAACAAAGCCTTGTCTAATTTTTGGAGTTATTGCCCTTTGTTCATTTTTACACTTTGAATTTTACCCGGGACATAACTCTGAAACTATAAGAGATATCATCAGGAAACTTTATAGATAGATAGATCTCATTAAATAGAAGTGCAGTGCAAAAAAAACATAACTGCGCCTTGCCTAATTTTGGAGTTTGTGGGGGGGGGGGGCGAAAAGCCATCAAAACAAGTCTATATGAGGTAAAGGGTTATCAAGGGCAGTGCGCTCTCAGTGCTTAGTAGTAAAACATTTAGAGTCTAGATAATGTGGCCTTTACAAAAAGGGCTATAGTTCTGTCAAAATCCATATTAGAGTTACAGGCCTTAGATTATGACCTGTTATGTTCTCAAATAAGTTTGTGAAGTTTCAACCTATTCCTTCAGAAATTTTGGAGATACAAATTTGCATGCAAATACTTAACCAAAGTGTGACACCGACACTGATGCCTGGGTGAGTAAAATAGCTCTCCCAATTCTTCAAATAGTCTAACTAAAACAACAGGCTGGTTAAAATGCCCTATTGGGCTTATCACACAGGGCTTGAGCTTGGGGGCGACAACTTCATTCATAACGGTGAAATTACATCATCCTACGCATGCAGTTTCATTCTTAAATACATCAAAGTGAAGTAATTTTAATGTGGTTCATTGATAAAACGCACTAAAATGAAGCCATTATATAGCACGCAACACGATCTGGCTCCCCCATGCCACATAAAATTACCGGCATGGGTAAAACTAACGGAAACATCAGTTTGATCTGCAAGAAAATATTAGTGTTTACATTCAACATCACTGTATAACATATAACCACCATACTGCAGGCCTTTCCCCAGGCGCTTTAAGCACCGCGCTCCCGCTGTGCCTTAATCTCCAAATCAATCTCACAGCTGTGCCATAAAAGTCACCGCAGCTCTTGATTTTTCCGATCCCTGTTTACAAATTTGTATAGCACTTGCAGAATCGGATTAAAATTACAGGTTGTTTACAGGGTGCAATTAATAATCAGTCTGTGCAAGAATCCGTCAGTCCTCGGGTCATGGCTGAATAAAAATCAAGTTGTCCAATATATATTTCGTTACCGTCAGTCCTCATGTTCAAATAGAATTTCAAGAAGCTAAAATTACAATGAGCTGTTTGATAATAAGTTCCCAGTGATGCAAAGAAATTTGTTAAAGAACCAGTCTCTTCAAAAAGTTACATCAGCAACGTTAAATTTTGCCGTAAATTACCAATTTTAAATTTTTGTTTTACGATGCATCTTGAAATAGCGGATGAATATCTATCTTAAAATAATAAAAAAATATTTAATCTGATTTAATCAAAATCGACAACAACTAGAAATGTGAATGTTTTTGCAGGAAACAGACAAAATTTCATTTGTCACATATTTTCGCGATGCCACTTTTTATAATTAAAAAAAGGTAACCAAAATGAAGCTTTGTTTTGTTAAAATGTGTGTAATAACACTTAAAATGTAGTTTATATAGAGGATATTTGTTTGTTTTGCATGTAAGATTGAAATATAATTTCACTGAGTGAACACCAGATGCAATATTTTCACGAGTGGCGTAGCCACGAGTGAAAATATAATAGCTGGTGTTCACGAATGAAATATATTTCAATCTTATATGTAAAGCAAATAAATTTTCTTTTTATTTCATGCTTTTTAAGTGATTTTAAGTATTTTTTTACTGATTTTGCCGCGTAACGTCGCGCATTCTCCTTTGTGACGTCATCACATCATGACGTCACATCATTAATTTTGAAATATAGTTCTGTTAAATTTCTCTAATTTTGTTACATGTTTAACATGATGTATGGTGACATTGACTTATTTTCCTAAAGAAGCAAAATTTACGTATGACGGCATTTATTTCTGCCTGTTTTTTCCATTAAGTTTAATTTTCTTTTCATCCGCATTCAGATATAGTCCGGCTACAGTGAAAATTATATTTTATAAATTTCACTAGTGGTTTATCAGAATATAATCATCTGATATATTACAATAAAACACTGGAAAGCATGAAATAAGAATTTAAATTACTTAAGGTATTGCTTATATTAGTTGAGATGGAGATATTTGCCAATATTACATACTTATGTGGGGGGTGTGGAGGGTATTATCAGGACGAAAACAGCATAATGGTCTGAAGATGTTGGGTATAAGAAATTAAATATCAGATATTTTCAATCACTTTTTTATGATACAGTGTTTCCCATTTGGGAGTACAGTGTTTCCCATTTGGGAGTATTACCATTTTCCTAAATAAGCTTATTTCTCTGTTCAAATTCTGACTCCCTCACCCCTTATTCTGTTTATTCATCATATACATCAATTGCATAAATGCAGCAAAGATGGCTTAGCATAGTCAACATTATTTGAGACTCCTACTTTTTTGGCTGGGGAGTCGCAGAACTCCTATTTTGAAAATCCTAGTGAGACATCTGTAAGGCTGTTGTTTTTTTTCTCAAAGGGTCAGCATCTTGTTTTGTTTCTACATTGATGTCCACACTAATTTAAAGAAAGACAATCTGTTATAAACAGTGAAGAGTGACTGTGAAGAGAGACAGTTAATGTTTATATAGTTTATAAAATGATTTTTTTTTTCATTGTGTTGTTTTCTTGATTTTATGATTACAGTGTAATAAATTGTTAAAATGTTACATTTATCTGGTATCTTTTTTGTTTATAAAGACTCTTTAATACAGTAGATTTTGATGTAGCAAACATAAAAATAGTAAAAAAATTTCGAACGTTGGACAGGGGTCCTACCCCCTCCCACACCCATTCTCGCGAAAACTTGCCCCTGTGCCATGCAAAATTCCTGGGGAAAGGGCTGTACTAAAGTCACATAATTCCATGTATGTCCAAAACTGACCTCAGTTTGTATCAACAGATGTCCACAGTTCTGTATGCAATCAAAATTAATGTTGATAGTGAATGCCCTTGTTCCCACAAGATTGTCAACAATTTTTCTCTTGTATGAGTGAAAATTATGTTCATCTTGTACACAAAAACTAAAATATAAATCAATGTGAACTTATTTCTTATTTTAGGTGGCTCAAAGTGAACAGATGACATATACAGACCTTGTTCATGAATTAACGGACGGTCTGTTGACAGATCTGGAAAAAGTCAGGTATGTGTAGAAATCGTAAAGTATATAGTAAGTTTAGGAGTAGGTCATCATCTTACAGGGTGTTACGTTAGTGCTTTCTTTTCAAATTCTTAAGAATTATGAGCAGCGAACATACCGGGTTTTAATCAGATAATGTCATTCTTGAATCCTGATTATTTGATATCCATGATGTTAAAACAGGATGCCCCGAATGCAGAACAATAAAGACATGATGACAAAATATTAATTAATAAAAAGAGAAGTAAAGACATCAAGAAAGCAAATGTTGCTGAAACAGAAAAAAATCTTAAATATCTGGTATTTAAAGGAAGACAATTTAGACATCACTACAATTTGCCAAACTAGAATAAAACTAGATAAAAAACCACAGTAGGGTTACTCCTCAACAAGAAATTTAAGTTATTTTATTGTTTTGTGGCTTTTATCAATTCTCTAATAATTAATAGCTTCTAATAATCCTGTTCTTTGATAGCACTCATTCTCACTTTAGTATGACATTCCATGTCTTCAATATTCTATGACAATAGGTGGGAATATATAAGCCTGAACATTCCTGTACAATGTTTTAACAATTGGTACTGTATCAATGATTTAATTTGAGCGCAAGTTTAATAGCTTATTCAAGGTTTGACTTTGCTAGTGACAATGGCTTTTGCATGGTAGGTGTAAGAAAAACAGCATGTCTTCAACTAAATAGTAGTAATTGTTTCATTGCAAGGAACCATGGTTAACAATAAACACAGCTTATTTGAGCTTTTATTGCAGATTTTGCAATACAAAACTGTTTTTGATATTACGCAAAATCAAATCTGAATTACTTCTCTTGAAAGCAGGGTATCATTTACAAGTCTGAATTGCCAAACAATGCTAATCATAAATGGTAACACATTAATGGTTTATTCAATAGTAATATTAAGAAACAGTAATATTGTTAACATAAAATATCAAGATTAAGTATATTTGTTCAACCATTTTGATACAGATTTCATGTTAATTTGCATTTTACAAGTATGATTTTTAAAAATCCATTTATAAGGCTCTTAAAAACCATGTGTTTGACAATATGTTTTCAATAATATCAATGTTATTTTTCTTGATATATCTAGAGTGGATATTTGTCTTGCTTTTATTCTGTCATTTAGGTTAACCATTCAACAATTTTCTATAAAATTTCTTTGTCAAACAGAAATTTTCAACATTTACAAGCCTATCATTTAGGAACTAAAAAAATGCACTCTTTCACCTTCTCTTGTGATTTATTCTGCTTGTTTTTTTTAATGATTTTAACTTGTCAATTGACCTTGGTGTTATTAGGATTATATTCTTCCACGAAAACAAGGAAGTATCAATGTTTTAAAAAATATGTATCTGAAATGTGTTTATCACTTACAGACTGCTGCTAAAAAATCATAATTTTGATATTGAAATTGATATTTACACGTTTTGACTATTATAGAGTTCAATGGATATTTACTTTCATGAACAAATTTAATACACTTAAACTTATATTGCAATTACAAAAATGAAGTAAACATGAAAACAGGAGTGTCCCATATCTGGCTGAATGTCGGTAAATGGTAAAATTAATTGTGGAATATTCATTTGAGTAATAAAAAATATTGGTTCCATGCTTTTCGGTGAAAACGTAATAATTTTAGAGTATATTGTATTAATTGTTAGATTGAATGTTCTTTGGAGCATAATTGGTGAGAATTAGCTAGTTATTGTCCTTAAATAAAACATTCTGAAAACTTTTTATGCCCCCAAGGGAGGCATATTAAAATCGCACCGCCCGTCCATCTGTCTGTCTGTGCGACCCCACTTCATTCGTGTCCGGACTGTAACTTTGTCATACATTGAGGGATTTTGAAATAACTTGGCACAAATGTCTACCACATCAAGACGATGTGTTGCGTCCAAGAACCAAGTCCCTACCTCAAAGGTCAACACACTATCATTTAAAAGTTTCACATTACCGCAATTAGAGTAAATAGGTACACACATTCGTGTCCGGACTGTAACTTTGTCATGCATCAAATGATTTAAGAAAAAACTAGGCATCAATGTCTACCACATCAAGACGATGTGTCGCCTCCAAGAATTACGTCCCTACCTCAAAGGTCAAGGTCACAATAACATTTTGACGTTTCACATTATCACAATTAGAATTAATAGGTACACACAATTGTGTCTGGGCTGTAACTTTGTCATGCATCAAAGGATTTTAGAATAACTTGGCACATCAAGATGATGTGTCGCATCTAATAATCACGTCCCTACCTCAAAGGTCAAGGTCACACTACCATTTGATTTTATCACAATTAAAGTTTATAGGTACACACATTGGTGTCCGGACTGTAACTTTGTCATGCATCGAAGGATTTTAAAATAACTAGGCATGAATGTCTACCACATCAAGACAACATGTTGCGACGAAGACACATGTCCCTACCTTCAAGGTCAAGGTCACACTTATAGTTTGAAAGTACTCATTCTCTCGAGAAGAGTTTGAAGATACACATTCATGTCTGGACTGTAACTTTGTTATGCATGGAAGGATTTTAAACTTGGCACAAATGTCTACCACATCAAAACAATGTGTCGTGGCTAAGGCTCATGTCCGTCTGTCTGTCAGTGTGTTCCCACTTTCGCAACAATCATGTCTAGACTCTAACTTTGTCATGCATTGAGAGATTTTGAATAACTTGGCACAAATGTATATCTCATAACAACATTCTGTCGCGTCCAGGAACCACATTCCTTCTTCAAAGGTCAAGGTCACACTTATATTTTGAAGGTTCATGCTATCACAATTAGAGATTACAGGTACAGTAATACAAAGAACAATATTAAGCAATTAGTTACTTTCATTCTCATTTCTTTTCTTAATACCTGCATGCTAAAGAAACCTTTTCTGGGGCATTCGTCACTTGAGTGACAGCTCTTGTTCATAGAATATTTAGTTAACCTGAGCTAGCTCAGGATGACCTTTTAGGATCGTTGAATGTCCGTCGTCTGTTGTCCTTCCACATTTGTTTGTTAACACTCAAGTGGTCAAATTTTTCCCTCAGTCATCATCAAACTTTGTCAGGATACTTGTCAAGGTAATTGCTCAAAAGAGTTCGAACATGGGTCATCTCAAATATCTGGGAGGGTGGGGACTTGAACCTTCCAAAGATGGACTTGGACACTTCAAGCCCATCCCAGTCTTGTAAACACCCTTCCTTCTATAGACAGGTCATAAAAACTTTCAACGATGCCAACCTTACCCAAATGATGGGCCTCCCTACTCTCACTAATAACATCATTGATTTATGCCTCATTACAAATCCCACTCAAGTTAACCAGGTCCATATTTTCCTAGGCATCAGTGACCACAACCGAGCCAGATATTTGTGAATCTTTTTTTTATACGCCCGTTTGAAAAACGGGACGTATTATGGGAACGCCCTTGGCGGGCGGGCGGGTTGGCGGGCGGGCGATCGGCGTCCAATTTTGTCCGGAGCATATCTCCTACATGTATGGAGGGATTTTAATGAAACTTCATAGAAATGTTCACCACTATGAGGAGCAGTGTCGCGCACATGAACCAGGTCTCTAGGTCAAAGGTCAAGGTCACACTTAGAGCTCATTGAAAAATGCTTGTCCGGAGCAAAACTTCCACATGTATAGAGGGATTTCAATATTACTTGGCACAAATGTTCACCATTGTGAGGCGGAGTGTCGCGTGCAAGATTCAGGTCCTTGCGGCCAAAGTCAAGGTCACACATAGAGGTCAAAGTTCAGATAAAAATATGAAGATGTGTATATGGACCATTTAGTCATCATTTATTGAGGGATTGTAACACAAATGGTCATTATCAAGACTATGGCTGTGATACATATAATTTAGGTCAATATATACAAGGTCAAGGTCACTAAAGATGATGAAATATCCAGATTTTGTAAATAGAATTTAATCAAAGGGCAACAACAAAGTTATTACTTTGTTCATAAATGACTTACACAATTACTCCCCTTGATCTACTTTCACTTTCAATTCTAAAAATAGAATTTAATCAAAGGGCATAAAATAATCCTCTTTCTTGGACTTGAGTATGTTCTAAAGAATGTAACATTTATTTACACATGTTTCATTCATTGGTCAAGATTCTTAACTGTGATAACTATGGTGTTCTGTAGACTTGGTATTTGTTCATAAAGATCATACAGTAATTACCTTATCAAATGTAAATACTTTCTCATAGAAATTTAATTATATTTTAATTTTCAAGTAAATATCAGTTCAGCTCATTCAAAGATTAAGAATTGTAATGAAATGTATTTCCCTAGAATAAAATCTTAAATCAGAATTTTTTAGTTATTAAATTACAATTACATGTACTTTTTATCTTCCCTACTGATTTGTTTTAAGGTTCATTTAACAACACAGTGCGGCTGTGCCAAGGATAAAAACTTGCTTGCTAGATAACACTTATCCATAATGCCCCCATCTCCATCTAAAGCTTTCGTAAACGGGCGTATTTTGTGACTATGGCACCCTTGTTACCTATTCAAGTGATTTTTAAGAAGTCCAGAAAGCTTTCTGGGTCTAGTTCTTGGGGCTTGTAGTACCCTCCTATGACTTTGGACTTATTTCCAACTAAATCTAACTTAACCCATAGATCTTCACATTATGATTCAATTTCAGGCATTTCTTGAACAGCAATGTCATTCCTAATGGCGAAGAAAGTACCCCTCCACAAGTCTGCACTTGGCGGTCTCGGTGGAAGAAAGAATAAACTAGAACACCTCACCTGTATAGTGCCAAGACATTTAGTGGTGTTAAAACATTTGCTAGAACCAATGATAACAAATTATTATGCCCCCCTTCAAAGAAGTGGGGGTATATTGCTTTGCATTTGTCCGTTGGTTTGTAGACCAAATGGTTTCCGAGTAATAACTAAAGAACGCTTAGGCCTAGGGAACTTCAAACTTGGTATGATGATTGTTCATGACCAGTTGATGACCCCTATTGATTTTTGGGTCAAAGGTCAAGGTCACATTGACCTTGTAGGTAAAAACGGTTTTGGAGTGATAACTAAAGAACACTTATACCTAGGAACTTCAAACTTGGTATGATGTATGTTCATGACCAGCAGATGACCCCTATTGATTTTGGGGTCCAGGGGGTGAAGGTCACATTGACCTTGTAGATAAAAACGGTTTCCAATCAATAACTAAAGAATGCTTAGGCCTAGCAACTTCAAACTTGGTATGATGATTTTTCATGACCAGCAGATGACCCCTATTGATTTTGGGGTCAAGGGGTCAAAGGTCAAGGTCACATAAACCTTGTTAATGTAGATAAAAACAGTTTCCAAACAATAACTTAAGAACGCTTAGGCCTAGGAATTTCAAACTTGATATGATGATTGTTCATGACCAGTTGATGACCCCTATTGATTTTGGGGTCAAAGGTCAAGGTCACATTGACCTTGTAGGTAAAAATGGTTTCGATCAATAACTTGACAACCCATGGGCTGTTGGCCCTCAAACTTGGTAGGTGCATTGGACTTGACCAGTAGAAGATCCATTTTGATTTTAGGGGTCAAGGGGTCAAAGATAAAGGTTGCATTGATCTTGTAGTTAAAAAGGTTTTCTATCAATAACTTGACAAGCTATGGGCTTTTGGCCCTCAAATTTTGATGGTGCATTGGTTTTGGCCAGTAGATGACACCTAATGATTTTGGGGTCAGGGAACAAAGGTCGAGGTTGCATTGACCTTGTATTTCAAAATGGTTTTCTATCAATAACTGGACAACCCATGGACCCTTGACCTTCAAGCTTTACAGATGCATTGCTTTTGATCAGAAGATGACCTCAATGGATTTTTTGGCATTAAGGGGTCAGAGGTCAAGATCACATTGACCTTATAGGTAACAATGCTTTCTGATCAATATCCCAACTCATGGGCCCTTTACCTTAAAACTTCACAGGTGCATTGGTCATGGCCAATAGATAACCCCTATTGATTTAGGGTAAAAGGTCAATGTCATATTGACCTTGTATGTAAAGACTGTTTCTGACCAATAACTCTACAACTCAAGTTGCCTTGGTTGATATTTTTTTATTAAACTAAAAATCCTTTTGGTATACACATTTCAAGGTCTTATGTAATATAACAACTTGGCTGTCATTAATAAGGCCCACATGATTCATAAAATTTATGCATATATTATTTGGTAAGATTTGTAATAACTTAAATTGCTGCACACAACCTATGGGGTCACAAAAATTATTACCTTGTGGCTAGTCATGACCAGTAGATAACCCTTATTAATTTTTTGTTCACTGGGTCAGAAGTCATGCATAATAACCTGATCACATGACTAATTGGCTGCCGATAGGGGGCATACATGTTTTACAAACATATGTTGTTTATTCAAGTATGAACACTTTTTTCATGTTAGGGCTATATTCCGGTGGATCACTGTAAAGGATTTGAATGTGATGGATTTTGAAGAGTCTACCAACGCCGACACTCCTCTTGGTTTACTTCGTGGTATCAAATATGGGACTGAGACGTATCATGTGCTTTTTATGAGACTCTGCAGGTAATTTCTATGGACTGAAATAAGTAATAAATAATAGGTTAAATGGATATAGTATGCAAAATGTTTATTTTTTTTTTAGTTGCAATTGAAAATGTTATATTTATCAAGATCAAATTTTAAAACTACAGGTATACATAGAATTCTATGGAATCTTTTGAAATTAACATTTTATTGCACTGCCCTAGGTGCAGAGACTATGTGTACTGTAAATTAATCATTAAAGATATACTATGCTAATCCTAGTAAAATATTTATTCAAAGAAATTTATTGAAATCTATGAAATGCTTACTGAATATGTCTATTTTGAATAAAAGAATGAATAATTTATGTATGGGAAGCAGCGTTCCGTATTACAGGTCAACTAAAGTATTACAGGTCAACTCAGGTTAAATACAAGGTCACAGGGACTAAAAATAGAAAAATCTTGAAACCTTGAAATTGGTCTGCAAATTTGTTTTGATGATTTATAGGTCAAGTTTGAATATGGGTCACCTGGGGTCAAAAGCTAGGTCACACTGCCCAAATATGGAAAAACCTTGTTAACACACTAGAGGTCACATTTTTGACTCCATTGCCATCTAACTTGGTCAGGGTGCTTGTCTAAGACATTGCTCGGATGTGGTTGATGGGTCAGGGGAGCGATCTACGGCCGGTATTTGCACTTTACACATTGAAGAACACAACATCGCTTAAGGCATTATTGTATCAATCAAGTCAATTAGGAATTATTGTGCATTTTCACAGCTCCCTGACTATATCATTACAGGTTGCAAAAATAAATAATCAAAAGTTATATTCATATTTTAAGTTTTAATAAACTTCTAACACCTTTATTTCCACAGCAAAAATAGCCTGTTACTATTTATAGTAAAGTTGCAAGAGGTTAATCCACAGGGAAATCTGTCCTTATTTTATTAAACATATATATGTAATATAAACAAGGGATACAAGTTGTGACCCGCATTACCAGCACGGGTTCTTGAAATGCATCCACATGTGTAAACTCAGTATACAATATCCTCTACTCCATCAAAGTTATTTATGAATGTGTCATTACCCAACTTTTACTTAAACCTGTATCATTGAAGGAAATAACTAACACTTCAATATTTACATTGGCTGTCAAATTGTCATCCAATAAACAGGTGTGTTTATGTTGCAATTATTTTCATTGGCTGATGAAAAAAAATGCTATTCCTCCATTAGATATCGTTTTGCATGTGTAATGTTACAAACCGAAATTTTACGAATGAGTGCAAAAATGAAACACGAAAGGTTATTTTTAATAATATTTTGTCCATGTATCAAAGTGAGTCATAGATTCCTTCAAGAATGTCCAACAATCAAAAGAAAACAAAGCTGTTGTATACTGTGTTCTATTTACTTTTTCATGAATTGAGGAATTTTGAGTTGTATCCCTTGCTCGACTTTTTATGACCCCGCCATATGGCCAGGGCATATAGTGTTACCCTGTTCCGTCCTTCCGCCATTCTGTCATTCAGTCATCATCAGTTTCATTATCTTAGTAACGGTTGCACACATTCAACTCAAATTTGACATATGGATATGTTATGAGAAAATACAGGTCAAGTTTGAATTTGGTCATGGTTCGATTTTTTGGCAGAGTTATGCCCCTTTTACTTTGATAATAATATGAAATTTTCAGTTTCCGTTCATTATTCCCCCAACAGTGTTACATATTCAACTAAAACTTGACATATAGATATTTCATGAGAAAATACAGGTCATGTTCGAATTTGGTCATGGTTCGATGATTTTTGTCAGAGTTATGCCCCTTTCACTTTGAAAATAATATGAAATTTTCAGTTTCCATTCATTATCTCCCCAACAGTATTACACATTCAACCTAAATTTGACATATGGATATGTCAAAGGAATGCGCAGGTCAAGTTCGAATTTGGTCATAGTTTGATGATTTTTGGCAGAGTTATGTCCCTTTCACTTTGAAAATAATTAGAAAATTTTCAGTTTCCGGTTATTGTCTCCTCTAGGGTATTACACATTCAACTCAAATTTGACATATTGATACGTCAAGGAAATGCGCAGGTCTAGTTTCAATTTTGTCATGGTTCGATGTTTTGCCCCTTTAATTTTGAAAAAAAAGAGGAAATTTTCAGTTCCCATTCGTTATCTTCCCGACAGTTGTACATATTCAACTCAAATTAAAGATATGGATATGTCATAAGAATGCATTGGTTAATTTCGAATTTGGTCATGGTTTGATGATAGCTGTTATCCCTCTTGAACTTTGAAAAAAAATCAGAAATTTTAAGTTTCCGTTCATTATCTCCCCAATGGTTGTACACATTCAACTTTATAGATACATCTTAGGAATAAGCAGTTCAAGTTTGAATTTGGTAGTGGTTCAATAATTTTGGACAAAGTTATAATCTTTCTTGAATGTTGGAAAAAATTTGAATTTTCAGTTTCAGCACTCATACTTTTATGGAAATGTATGTAGCCATTATTTTGGCTCCAAATATGCAATATGCAATTTACAAAAGGTTAATACTGAATAGTTTCAGTGCCTTGAACTTTGTATAAAAATGGTTTGTGTTAAGATTGAATAGTTTTAAGGGCTTTGAACTTAAAATGAAAAATATAATTTGTGCAAACAAATTTGGAACTAAATATAATAACATCTGAAATTTTGGCTACATGCGGGGGCATCCATGGCGTGACGACACATTTCTAGTTTTTTTGAAAAGGTAGAGGTATTGTTATAGTCCACACTTGTACCTGGATCATAACTTTATAAGTTCTTGGTGTATTGTCTTCATACTTGGCCACAACAACCCTTGGGAAAGACCTTTCGGAAGACCAGACTAACCTACACCTTCATCCGTAAATGACCTTGACCTTCAAGGTCAAATGTCCAAATTTTGCTTGTTCTTGCTATTATTGGCTATAACTTTGTTATTTTTGAATTGATTATCTTCAAACTTGAACATAATAATCTTTATGGATTTAAATAAACCAGACAGACCTTGACCTTCACTAATAAATGACATTGACTTTGAAGGTCAAATTATTGAAATTTTCATTTATATGCCACGACAGCATCTGCGATGCGGTGGCATATAGCGATTCACATGTGTGTGTGTGTGTGTGCCTGCATGCGTGCATGCATGTGTGTTTGTATGTGTGTTCTATAGATTATATAGTGAACTTAAAAATCTTCTTGTGAAAAACCACTTATCCAATTTCAACCAAACTTGGCAGGATTGATCCTTGGGTGAAGGGCTTCCAAAGTTGTTCAAAGAATATCATTCCATGCAGAAATCTGGTTGCCATGGCAACCAAATGGAATTATAAGAATAAATTTAAAAATCTTCTTGTAAAGACCCAAAAGGTCTAGAGCTTAGATATTTTGCATAAGGCATTGTCTGGTAGACCTCTACCAAGATTGTTCAAATTATAGCCCTGGGGTCATAATTGGCCCCGCCCCGGGGGTCATTGATTTTCACTATATGTACATATAGTAAAAACTTAAAATACCTTCTTGTTTGAAGGTACAAGTCTTAAAGGTTTGATATTTGGTATGTGATATCATCTATAGGTACTCTACCAAAGTTGTTCAAATTTTGCCTCTATAGTGTCAAAATCAGCCCGGCACCAGGGGTCATAGGTTTTCCTTATATGTATATAGTAAAAGCTGACAAATGCTAGAGGTTAGATATTTTGCATGAAACATTGTGTAGTGAACCTCTAGCAAGATTGTTCAAATTATAGCCCTGGGGGTCAAAGTTGGCCCCACCCCAAGGGTCATTGACTTTCACTATGTACATATAGAAAAAAATCAAAAAATCTTTTTGTCTGAAGGTACAAGGCTTAGAGCTTTAATATTTGTTATATGATATCATCTATAGGTACTCTACCAAAGTTGTTCAAATTTTGTCTCCAGTGTCAAAATTAGCCCCGCCCCGGGGGTCATAGGTTTTTCTTTTATGTATATAGTAAAAACTTAAAAATTCGTCTTTTCTAAATTGACAAAGGCTAAAGGTTAGATATTTTGCATGAAACACTGTGTAGTGAACTCCTAGCAAGATTGTACAAATTATAGCCCTGGGGTCAAAATTGGCCCACCACCGGGGGTCATTGATTTTCACTATGTACATATTGTAAAAAAAAATAAAAAATATTCTTGTCTGAAGGTACAAGGCTTAGAGCTTTGATATTTGGTATATAGTATCATCTATGGGTCCTCTACTAAAGTTGTTTTAATTATGCCTCTAGTGTTAAAATTGCCCTGCCCCAGAGGCGATAGTTTTCTTTATAATGTATAAAGTAAAAACTTGAAAAATTTCCTTCTCTGAATTGACAAAGGCTAGAGGTTAAATATTTGGCATGAGACTTTGCGAAGTGTACCTCTACCAAAATTGTTCAAATTATAGCCCTGGGGTCAAAATTGGCCCTGCCCCGTGGGTCATTGATTTTCACTATGTACATATAGTAAAAAATTAAAAAATCTTCTTGTCTGAAGGTACAAGGCATAGAGCTTTGATGTTCGCTATATAATATCATCTATAGGTCCTCTAACAGTTAAAGCTGTTCAAATTTTTCCCCTGGTGTCAAAATTGGCCCTGCCCGGGGACATTGATTCTCATTATGTACACATAGTAAAAAACAGAAACTAAAACAAATGTTTTCTGAATAGGAAAAAGCTACAGCTTAGATATTTGACATGAAATGTTGTTTGGATGACCTGTATCAAGATTGCTTTGAATTAAACCCTTGGGTCAAAATTTTGCCTTGCCCAAGGGGACAGTGACCTACTGTCTCGTCCTTTGATATACAGCCATGAAATTTGGACCATTTGCACAGTTTTAGTTGTAAAATTGAACTTTGATATGAAGTGACCTAGATTTTGATGATGTGACCTACTTTCTTGTCCTTTGATGTACAGCTATGAAATTTGAATTATGTGCACAGATTTAGATGTAAAGTGAACTTTGATATCAGCTGACCTAGATTTTGACAAAGTGTCTTACTGTGTTGTCCTTTGATGTAGTCATGAAATTTAGGCTGTGTGAAATATGACCAAATTCACTGGGCTCAACTGCATTGATATACAGTTGACTCTCGGTAACTCGAAATCCAAGGGACTGGGCATTTTACTTCGAGAGAAACGGAATTCGAGTAATGTGGAACTACCGCCACTACGTTGACATTCGTACATGTATATACATGTGCCTGATTGAATGTGTAAAGAAGTAGGTTGTTATTGTTGTTAGCGGCAATGCTGCAATATTTGACCATTGAAATGACGGTAAATAACTTACAACTACAAATTATAAATGAACAAAAATATATCATTCAAAATTTAATACATGTATATTAATAGTGAAACATAAACACACAATTATATTTGATTTAATTGATCATCGGACGAAAATGAAATTAGCAACTATCGTGAACCGGAAGTACAAATTAATGTATGCAATATGACTGAACATTAATTATACAAATGTCATTTACGTTGATAACACACATCAATACCTGGGCTGTTATTTGACTAACACCCGTCAGACTGGCACGAGTCAACTTTCTTCAAGCAATGTAATTAAATTTTAATTTAGTTATCTATTAAGTCCTGAAACGGATTAAAGCCACTTTTACAACGTGTTAATAATGCATGATGACCGGCAATTAAAAAATACTATGAAACATGTAAATCACTAGTGACAACATCTCACCTTGATGTCGCCGACCTTTGATCTGTTTACACACTTCGACTAATTGAGATAAAAATATGTTGTACTTTAATTGGCGGGACCAAATTTTCTTTTCGACTAAACAGGAGTCTCGGTAAGTCAAAATTTGACCTAAGCGGAGTTAAAATACAAAGATAAAGAAGGAAATTTGACGGGACTTTAGAAATTATTCGACTAAGGCGGAATTTTGAGTAAAGCGATTTTGACTTATTGAGAGTCAACTGTATTTGAGAGTCAACTGTATTTCTACTCTGATCTTTTATTTGAATAGCAATCACTAATCTGATAATAAGAATTAGATAGGTCAGGGATCTATGCATTATGACAATCTTCAATTGTATAGAAACAAAAAAAATCTGTTCCTACACTATTATTTAGTGTTGTATTAATGCAGTGGCATAGCATTTTTCACAAATGCAATCTTGATTAAAGTTGTCAGGACTACTCCTTTTACTGATATATACCACTAATGCAATTTCAATGAAACTTTGCTTGATTGATCTGTAGCTTAAGTCCTTGGGCAAATTGCATGGGTTTTCTGGTTGAATTATTTTTGGTGGAGTTATGGCCCTTTGATAAAAAAGATGGCTTTTTTTTGTGTGTTGCCAGATACACAAAAGCTTGTGCAGAATACTTCTCAAAAACTACTGGTGCAATTTCATCCAAATTTAGCAATGATCAGTACCATGTCTAGTTGTGCATATCATAGGCTTTTTATGGTTCAATTAATTTTGTCAAAGTTATGGCCCTTTAATTATTTTTATTTTTTAAAGTTTGTCCGAACTACTCCTCTTATACCACTAATGCAATTTCAATGAAACTTTACAGGCTTAATTGGTAAATCAAGTCCTTGCGCATACTACATGGGTTTTCCGCTTGGATGATTTTTGGCCCAGTTATGGCCCTTGAATGAAAGGGTGTTAATAAAGTTTGTCTTGACTACTCCTCATATACCACTAATGCAATTTAAATGAAACTTCATAGGATTGATTTGTAGGTCAAGTACTTGTGCATAATACACAAGTTTTTCGCTTGAATGACTTTTGGCTGAGATATTGCCCTTGAATTAAAAGGTGCTTTTTTGTGTTGCCAGCTACACAGAAGTTTGTCTGGACTAATCCTGAGAAACTACTGATGCAATTTCACCAAAACTCTAGGGAAATAATCAATACCATGTCTAGTTGTGCATCTCATCAACATTTTTTGGTTCATAGATTTTTGTCAGAGTTTTTGCCCTTTCATGATTTTAATTTTGAAATTTGTCCAGACTACTATTATAGCACTACTGCAATTTCAATGAAACTTAACAGGATTTATTGATAGCTCAAATTCTTGTGCATATTACACAGGTTTTTAGGTAGAATTTTTTTGCCAAGTTATGGCTAGCATGAGGCGACACATGTTATCACTGATGGCCCTTGTTTTTTATTCAAATTCGCTTAAGAAGACTACCTTTTCTTTTAGTTAATTATCTCTCGTCTTTTTTTACCAAAATAATGGTTAACGGATGATTGTACTCTTTTAGCAAGGCATTTAATTGTTATTGTATTGTATACAGATACACAGATGTAACATCATAAAATCCATCAATAAAACATCATAAAGTCCAGTTCAAATTTGGGTTCAGACAACTTTAAATTTTCAAATAGTTAAAGTGGGGGTATGAATCACCTTAAGTGATAGTTCTAGTATTTCAGTGCACTGCAAGTGTATAATGCAATTTTTTTATGAAATAGACAATTGGAATTCACTAAGTGAAATGCAAATATTAGATAAAAAAACATTTTAAAAGTTGGATTTGATAAATAGAGATATATAGATGTATGTGGACATAAAAAATATCTTCAAGTGCTAATTTAAATGGATTGGAATGGATTGTATAGGAATACTTACATATTTTAATATCTTCACTTTGTTTTTTATAGTTACGCTGGTCTACACTGTGTCGAGATCAAAGGTCATTCCAAAAGTGTCGGATATGAGCCTGGGATGAAGATTCAACCGGAAATGTTTCAAAATACATGGAATGCTGTCCTCATAGACGGGGATTGGAGGCTGGTGCAGTGTAACTGGGGGGCAAGGTAACTGAGCATACATCTTTTTATGCCCACAAAGAACGGCATAATTTATAATTGCACCATCTGTCTGGCTGTCCATCTGTCCGGCAGTGCGTTCCCATGTGTACAACATCTGTGTCCAGACTGTAACTTTGTCATATCATGGTCACACTTACAGTCTGAAGGTTTCACATTCTCACAAGACTAGTAGGGTTTAAAGGTACGCACATTTGTGTTTGGACTGTAACTTTGTCATGCATGGAAGGATTTTTAAATAACATAGCAAATATGTCTACCACATCAAGATGATGTGTCGCGTCCAAGACCTAATTTCCTACCTCAAAGGACAAGATCACTCTTTTAGTTTGAAGGTACTTAATTTCACAAAAAAGTTTGAAGGTACACATTAGTGTTCTGACTGTAACTTTGCTATGCATTGAAGAATTTTAAAATAATTTGACAAAAATGTCTACCACATCAAAACAATGTGTCACGTGTAAGGCCCATGTCCCTACCTCCAAGGTAGAGGTCACTCTTGTATTTTGAAGGTACTCATGCTCACAAGAAGTGTTTGAAGGTACACATTAGTGTCCAGACTGTAAATTTGTCACGCATTGCAGGATTTAAAAAATAACTTGGCATAAATGTCTACCACATCTAAATGATATGTCGCATCCAAGACCCATGTCCTTACCTCCAAGATCAAGGTGGTAAGTTTGCTGTGAATAGCACTTAAGTTCACTAGAACATATTAAGCAAATAGTTACTTTTATTATTATTATGCCCCCCTTCAAAGAAGAGGGGGTATATTGTTTTGCTTATGTCAGTCTCTGTAGACCACATGGTTTTAGCTGATTATCTTAAAAACTATTTTACCACAAAGTCTTCATATTTCACATACTGATTGGTCATAACTAGTAAATGACCCCTATAGATATTGGGGTCACTGGGTCAAATGTCAAGGTCACAGGGGCCCTAAATGTCAGAATCATTTCCGCTGATTATCTTGAAAACTATTCATCACAAAGTCTTCATATTTCACATAGTGATTTGTCATGATTTTGGGGTCACTGGGTCAAAGGTCAAGGTCGCAGGATCCTTAAATGTCAGAATTGTTTCTGCTGATTATCTTGGAAACTATTTATCACAAAGTCTTCATATTTCACATACTGATTGGTCATAATTAGTAGCTGAACCCTATAGTTTTCCGGGTCACTTGGTCAAAGGTCAAGGTGACAGGGACCTTGAATGGTAGTATGATTTCGGCTCATTATCTTGAAAGCTATAAAGCATAAAGTCTTTATATTTCACATAGTGCTTGGTCATAACTAGTAGATGACCCCAATTGATTTTGGGATCACTAGTTCAAAGGTCAAGGTCACTGGGGTCTTTAATGTCAGAATGGTTTCAGCTGATTATCTTGAAAACTATTCATCACAGTCTTTATATTTCACATAGTGCTTGGTCATAACTAGTAGATGACCCCCTACTAGGTCAAAGGTCAAGGTCACAGGGGCCTTGAATGTCAGAATGGTTTCCGCTGATTATCTTGAAAACTATTCATCACAAAATCTTTATTTTTCACATAGTGCTTGGTCATAATTAGTAGATGACCCCCAATTGATTTTGGGATCACTAGTTCAAAGGTCAAGGTGACTGGGGTCTTTAATGTCAGAATGGTTTCAGCCTATTATCTTAAAAACTATTTATCACAAAGTCTTCATATTTCACATATTGATTGGCCATTACAAGTAGATGTCATCTGTTGATAGTGGGGTCACTATGTCAAAGGTCAAGGTCACAGGGGTCTTAATGTCAGAATGATTTCCACTCATTATCTTGAAAACTATTTATCACAAAGTCTTTATATTTCACATATTGAATAGCCATATATAGTAGATGACCCCTATTGATTTTGGGATCACTAGTTCAAAGGTCAAGGTCACAGATGCCTTAAATGTTAATATGGTTTCCGCTTATTAACTTGAAAACTTTTTATCACAAAGTCTTCATATTTCACATATTGATTAGTCATAATGAGGTCACTAGTTCAAAGGTGAAGGCCTTAATGTTTCACATATTGATTGGTTATAACTAGTAGGTCATTATTTTTCTTTGTACCAATTTATCGCAAAATTACCAATAATGTGAGTCAACAGCTAGAAAGGGGGACATATATGTCGTTTAACATTTCTTGTTATTATATTGTTTTGCTAATGTCTGTCAGTCGGTCTGTCCGTCAGTAGATCATATGGTTTCCGCTGATTATTTTAAAAACTATTTCTCACAAAAGTCTTCAAATTTCACATACTGATTGATCATATCTATTAGATGACCCCAATTGATTTTGGGGTCACTAGGTCAAAGGTCAAGGTCACAAAGGTCTTAAATGTCAGAATGGGTTCCACTTAGTATCTTGTAAACTATTCATTGCAAAGTCTTCATATTTCACATATTGATTGGTCATCAAGGCGTAGTAGATGACCCATATTGATTTTAGTCACTAAGTCAAAGGTCAAGGTCACAGGGGCCTTAAATGTCAGAATGGTTTCTGCTCATTATCTTGACTTATGTCTTGAAAACTATTTATGGGGTATTTAGGTCAAAGGTCAAGGTGACAGGGACCTTAAATGTAAGAATGGTTTCCACTCATGAACTTCAAAACTACTTGTTTTCAAGGCGACTCATATCTTGAAAACTATTAATGAGGTCATTAGGTCAAAGGTCAAGATCACAGGGACCTTAAATGTTAGAATGGTTTCCAATCATTAACTTCAAAACTACTTGTTATCAAGTCTTTGTGTTTCACATTTTTATTGATCATCACTTGTAGATGACACCTATTAATATTGAGGTCACTAGATCAAAGGTCAAGGTCACAACAACCTCAAAAGGTTTCTGATTATTCTCTTGACACCAAATAATTACCAAGTCTTTATATTTCACATATTGATTGGTCATAACTAAACACTTTTATGTACCCAACAATGTCATGTTTCTATAACAAAATTACTTATAGTATGAGTTAAGGGCTTGAAAATGTACGTGACAGATCTTGTTTTAACTAGTACGCATTTTTAGATAAGCCCAAAATCCATTCCTCAGCCTATCATTGATAGTGTTACATTCAATTTCTGAAGGTCAATAACCTATGGCGTCTAGCTTGAAATGCATGCCATTCAAATTTAAAACAACTTCTCTTTAGGCAAGAAAAGTGTTCTGTAATTGTGTATCATAGTTTTGTTACCACAGAACATATAAAAGTATTATATGAATTTATCTTTTGTTACCTAATGTTCGTCTTATCATTATTTGATAGCCAAATTCATTTGTATTTGTTGTATTTTAATATGTCATACCCGCACTTCCCCCCACACACGCACTAACAAACGAAATGTGAAGGGGGAAGACCTGGATGGTTGATTACCGTTTATGGCCGCACCCATGACTTAAGGAAATGCCAGCTCATCTGCCTGCTTTTGGGTCCCGTAGATTCAATGTATTCAATGTCACTGTTACTAAAAATAGAAAATCTGTTTCCAGTCAATAACTCAAGTAGGGAATGAGATATTTCAATTAAACTTGGGTGTATAGCAAGCTTATGCAAAGGTCTTGCTTAAGATAGCTTTTGCCCCCCCCCCTTCCCACAAATGGTCAAGGTCATTGTTAGTAGAAATAGAAAATCGGTTTCCAGTCAATAATTAGAGTAATAAATATAAATAGATATTTCAAAAAAACTTAGTGTATAACAAGGTTATGAAAAGACTTGGCATACAATTGCTTTTGGGCCTCCTGGGTCATGATCAAGGTTACTGTAACTAAAAATAGAAAATCTGTTTCTGGTTAATAACTTGAGTTTTGAATGATATATTTCAATGAAACTTTGTGTATACATGTATAAAGCTTATGTAAATATATTGCTTGGGATTGCTTTTGTCAAAGTTACTGTTACTAAAAATAGAAAATCAGTTTCCGGTCAATAATTAGAGTTTGGAGTGAGATATTTCAATGAAACTTATGTATAAAAATCTTATGTGAAGATTTGACTTGGAATTGCTTTTTGGCTCATTAGGGTCAAGAAAAGGCCACTGTTACTAAAAATAGAAAATTGGTTTCAGGTTGAGGTTTAGATTTAGGAATGAGATTTTAGCTTGTATATTATTCCTACAGTACTTGAAAGGCTCAATTTGGATTGTTCTTGAGCTCTATAGGCTCCTTGTTACCATTTCAATGCATAAAGTTATATTGTATGTTGCTTCTATTAATTTTCCATTGACAACCAAACAATGGTGATAATTGAAAATCTGGTTTTGTGGCATCGCCATGTTTTTTTGTATTTAAATATATCTGATAACATTATTTAAAATACATGTGTTTACTTAAAAATCATTAAGATAAAATAATTCAATTCCCATTATTCCTCTGTAATGCAGGAGTTACACTGTCCCGAATTGGGCATCAGATGGACACACAATGAGGAAATGTTCAAATTCGGATCTGATCGTAATAACATCAACCATTTGTGGGGGCACCTTGTGCCATCGTATGACTCCCGGCTAAATTTTTCAGGCTCCGGCAGCAACTTCATGAGCAGTCGCAAAATGTTTGGCATGTCAAAAAAATGCCAGAAGACATTGCGAGTTTCATTTTCGTGTTGAACTTGTATGCCAAATTTGCGCTTCTTAAGGCCGTCGTAAAGCCATCTTGTCAAATTGTGTAGTGTTCGTCTTTACTTTGTGTTATCATCGGTATCATCTGGTATTTTTCACCTCAAGAAGACAATACAAAGGAAACAAGAGGATTCCTGTCTGTCTTAAGAAGGGAACATGACTATGTGAAGCCCCTGCAATACCGTCATGTCGCCATCGTATTTTGGTATGATGACATCGAGATGGGACCACGATGTGGACTAAGAAAGCATATTTGAGTGGCTCAAGCGTTGCATGTTTATCATGGTGGACATTATAACTGATTCTCATAAGAATTGTGAAATTGACAGATCGAAATTCGAAAAAAATCGATCT